TCTGACGTCGTATTTCCTCATCATTGAGCGCTAACCCTTTATTGCATCCCGTATAGAACCGACATGGACTGTGGTGGCAGCCAGTCTGGAAACAATCCAGCTAAACAGTGAGTGCTGTTTCACTACTTTAACTAACATCCATCCATCCATCCATCCATCATCTATACACCACTTAATCCTCACTGGGGTCGCAGGGGGGCTGGAGTCTATCCCAGCTGACTGTTTCACTACTTTAACTAACTTGTTTATACTTTTAGATGTTGTGAGTTAAAGAGTTAGTACGTCATCATCCTTTACATGTCTAATTTGGTTGCACAACTGCACTTTAAGATCTCTGCCTCATTATTCATGACGTTTCCTCATTTTCTGATGTTTTTCTAAAGATGTGCCCTTCTGTAAAGTCTTAGTGTTGCTACACAGCCTGGAGAACAGTCACTTTGTATTTCACCGCACGAATAAAACCTTTGGATCTACAATCTACTGACTGATCACTGCTGGTGTGATTACTGTATTTGGTGATTAAGATCAACATTCAGTAGCATCGGGCTGCAGACGTAGAGCTTAGAAGAAACACAGAGGCTTTTTTTTCTTTCCTCACTTCAATAAAATGTGTTAATATGATAGTTAGTTGCCTGAAAACTTGAAACATTTACAACTTAATTTCAAAATTTGTACTTTGAATCAGAACTTTTCCTTCCTTTCACAAAAACCCCATCCACACACACACACACACACAGATTGGCCTGGCGTCCTAAAGCGCCGTATGAACAATCCTGACTTTCTGACACACTTTCACTGAGCAGCGACACACAGCTGCTGCACGGTCAAGCAGCCTCACAAGACTCCTGTTTACTGCAGAGAGAGAGTGATGCGGCTGCCAAGTCATTATCCCCCCCAGCAGCCCCTCTCCAAAATGCTAATGGTATTTACAGGAGAGGGAGAAGGGAGAGGATGTCGGCGGCAGGTGCAGCTGCCGGAGCGTGATGTTACACTGAGGCAACATATTGCCCCGAGGAGCAACAGAGGGGTCATTGTGCATCGGTGTTTAGGTGACGGATAATCAGTGGCGCTGGACTCAGATAAGCATCTCAGGGGTTTAACCGCTTTACTTACGAGGTCACTGTTTGAGCCTCTGTGTGGAGTTCGGTCTTGGACGGCAGAAGTAGATGGCAGAGGGCTGCAAGTCTGGTTGAACTGGGTTGGATTTACACAAGTATAGAGAGCAGAGCTTGTTTGATCTGTAGCTCATAAAGGTCAGGCCTCTACTGCTGGGATTTTCTAGCTTTTTGTTTTTTTAATCCATCTCGAGTCATCAGTAGAATTTGAAATACTAAAATGTTGAGCTACTGTCCTGGTTTTGCAGCGCTTTCCACAACTATAGATTCTGTTAAACACAAAGATTTTGAATAAAAAAAGAGAGAAAAAACAAACAAACAAACAAACAAACTTGAGGCTTGAGAAATTTTGTGAAATATAAATTGAGCTGCTTGATTTTTGAGCAACTTTTCTTCATTTAGATTTTTTATCTTAGTTTGAAGCTGGGTTCAGGAAACAGATGCTGCTGACCGGAGAGGTTTTAGGCGACTGTGTGGTGGCTGATTTCAGGATAAAGGCGTCAAAATACTGTAACTGGAAGAACAATTTGTGTATGACGTGTTTTTATACGCAACAACTTCTCTTGATTGTTTTACCTTCTTCGATCACATAAAGAAAAAATCACAATATATAGGAATATTTTTAAAATTTAAAACTTTAACTACTGGAGCTGCACTGTAAAACATTTGGGGGGGGAAAAATCTGGCAGCAAAAACATGTTAAAACCAGTGGCACACAATAACATTCAAAAGCTGTAAACACAGTGAAAATAACAGCAAAAATCTGTAAAATAACGATTCTTTTTAAGCTGATTTAAATGCCATAGTCACGCATTGCAAAAGAAGAAGTTACTATTTGTAAAAATTCAAATTTTTGATGTTGACATTATTTACAGTATTGGCCTGTTTTATTATTATTATTATCATCTTTTCTTTTTACAGTAAATAGATAAATGAATACATGTTATCTGTGATTTTACTAGATATTATCTATAATATAAAAAGGCAGAGGAAACCTGTACAAGCTAAAACCAAATAATCAATTAAAAAAATAATATTGTTCAAAAACCTAATACATAATTTTCTTTTGAGTAACTCTAAATACTAAATATCTGTAAAATAATTGTATTTCTGCTGATTAAAATCATGGAACAACTTTACAGTCAAAACATTATAAAAGAATACGTTTGTAACAATTCTATTTTTTGATGTGGACATTATTCCTGTTTTATTCACGTTAACGTGTAAATTATCACTTTTTTTCTTGTGATTTTATTAGCTATTGTCGGCAATTTATTGAAACAGGGGAAATCTGAAAGTTTCCTCTTTTACAGTGTAACTTTATCAGTAAAAAGGTCAGTTTCTAAACCACACTTGCTGCATGTTTGACCACGACTGCCTTCCAAACCTGCTCATAAAGTCTTTCTCTTGTGTATAAACTCAAGCATGAGTTGAGCACAAACAGCCGCTTACAGTCAAACTAAATAATTCTGCAAGCTGAGGCAAAACTCTATGCAAAGCGTGTGGGATAATGATAACTACAATTTTACATATAGTTTGGTTAATGACCAAATGTGACTTTCTGTTTGAATGCAGGCTGCAATGATATTTATTGAAGTCCCCTCTTATAGCTCTGCTCAACAAGTGTCAGTTCAGCTGCTGACTTCAGAACCATGTGAGAAAAATCTCCTTTTGGCTGAGGAGGGATTGGGAATGGAGAGCTGAACAACAGAGTAAATATTTGGCCGTGGAGAGCTCTTGGGAGCCGCAGAGGGCCCTCTCTGGCTGAAGCCCTGCGGGTGTTAAATAGATTAAGGGGGCTGCTGGGTCATTGTGGAAAGAGAAATTCCCGCTCTTTGGACATGACTTTTCTTTGCCTATGCGTGTTTCTGCTCTCCAATCGAGTGCCCTCTGCAAACTATCCACTCCTAACCTGCAGTACTGTAATCCTCTGCTGTTTGTCAACCACGAGGAGGGCCGCAGTGTACACAGGAGTACGAGAGGAGTCCATGTGTCGATGGCAAACACTTAAGAGCTGCTCGTTTGGGTTTAATGAATAAGCCATGCTGTGCGTAAAGTTCATAAAAAGGAGAAAACAGAGAGATAATGGGTCATTTCTGAGTATTTTGGCTAAAAAAAAAATTAAAGGTCACCGCCTTTGTTGAACTCTGAAAATCTAAAAGGAGTTTAATACGTCCTGAATTACGCATGTAATATTGCTCCGGGCTATAGACTTGGCGGCAGTAGACGCAGAGCAGTAGATAGTGTCCCAGATCCTATTCAGCTCCATTCAAAACCATGACAACACGGAACAAGCTCGGATTTATCCTGCAAAGTTAAAGGACATTGTGCCGGGGCGTCAATCAGGCATTATTGCGGGACTGAACAAATGCAAAATCTTGACTGGAACAAATGCTTCCAACGGGTCTCGGACGCGGGGCTACATTTTCCCCCTTTGTTCCCCTTCTCTGGCTGGCATGTATTTGTGTTCCCCCTCGTCCGACCACCCAGGACGAACTGGGGAGGCAGGTCCAACACCAGCAACACCAGCAGCGGCAGCAGCAGCAGCACTCCTCAGGCACCTCGCTGAAGTGGATGAGGGTCGATATCAATATCAAATACTTAGAGGGAGAGAAAAAAAAGAAGAAGACAGAAACCCAGCCCCCACATAAGGCTGGATTCACGCTTTGCATTTAATGCGTTTTTTATGCGACCAAAAGAGCCAAACATCAGCGCGTAAAGGCGTCGTGATTGGGCCACTTTAACACGAGGGGATCCAATTTTTTTAGCAGTAATTTAAAAGAGGAAAAATAAAGAAAACTAATGCATCCTGGGTCCTTTAAGCTGTGCGCGCTTGCAGAATGATGGATTATTGATAATTTGTCTTGATTACCAATTAATAAAATCTTGTCAGCAGCAATAAATCACTGCTGCAATTCATCAGAAACTCTCCCCAAGCTGGTTTGGATGGATGAGCTGTGCAAAGATTTATATTGTGCAATTAATTTACCCCTCAGAAAACAATCTATATGAAAATTAATAGGCCATATAGGAAAGGAACTACGTAGTTATGTTTTTAAATATTTGTTAGCAGTTCTTCTTTAAAGACAGATTTTGTATCATTACAGCAGGATTTTACTTTATTGTCTTTTTTTTCTTGACTTATTTGCTTGCAACTATTATTGCGGGTTAGAAATCACATATTAAACTTAAAATTTCCCGTTTTAAAATACTCATAAATCATCCAGAAAAGTAAAAAAGCTCGTAGCCTTCTCAGAACACGTCTTTGGGAATCCCTCCGCCGTCCATAAAACTTCTCACGCCCGCAGTTTACGCGCCTCTAATGGGAGTATTAGTTAAACCAACTCGCAGGCATCAACGCTAATTGCTCACTTTGTATGCAAATATTGGACACGTTTGTTTGGTGCGAGAGGAGGGAGGAGGGTGAGGAGGGGAGGAGTGTTGGTGAGGGGGGAGAGTTTGATGATGGGACGGGCTCTGTTGTCAGCTGCCACCCAAGACGTGATTCAGCTCCAACAATTACCATTATCTGTTTCCCAGTTTGACGATACGGGACGAATCTGTAATGATGACGAGTGTTTCCTTCGCTCATTGTTGAGGTTTTTTTTTTCCTCTCTCGATCCACACCTAACTATCATTGGGTGACGGCACTCCAGCTATTCAGGTACTCAGCGGAGGAGGAGGCTTTATAAGCGGAGGAGTGTTTGCAGCTTATGGAGTGCTGTTTGTGTAAACACTGAGTGCGCACACACACACACTGGTGTTTGGACAGTGCGTAAAGAGGATCCTGCGCGGCTTTTTTTTCTTTTTCTTCTTCCTTTTTCTGGGGATAGATTTACTTCGAGTGTTTGCTTCTTTTTTTCCGGGATTGCACGCAAGGACGTCATGGCTGCACCGACCAAGTTCAGTTTTTCCGTCAGGAGCATCCTGGATTTGCCGGAGCGAGATGCGGAGGCAGCACCACGGTCCTCCCCGGTTTACTCCTCCTGCTCGTCCAGCTCGCCCTACACCTCCTGGATCGAGTGCGACCGGAGCCCCTGCATGTGTAAGTTCACATTTGAAGCAAAGATGCTGACTTTTGCGAATACTTCTGCTCCGAAAACGAAGATTTAGACATCTTTAAACTGCAATAGATTTTTAAAAGCCTTAATATGACGTTTTGATTTGACTAAGAAGCTACAAAAAATAAACTCATAAACTTTAGGAAAGTCATGATGGATGGGTGGATAGATCGATGCGTAAAGTGCACCATTTTCCAACAGTATTTATTCTAAGCTGGACCTGTTCTTGCGTTTCTTTCCGCAGCCTCCGATGAGGGCAGTTTCGAGGCCTCCCCAGACTCCACCAAGCCGGATGACTCGTCCCTGGACTCGGAGCCAGAAAGAACCAAAAAGAGCAAGAAGCGTCGAGTTTTGTTCTCCAAGGCCCAAACCCTGGAGCTGGAGAGGCGCTTCCGCCAGCAGCGCTACCTGTCCGGCCCGGAGAGGGAGCAGCTGGCCCGCCTCCTCAGCCTGACTCCCACGCAGGTGAAGATCTGGTTCCAGAACCACCGCTACAAGATGAAGCGAGGCCGAGCGGAGGGAGCGCTGCAGGACGTGGAAATAGCGCAGCCTCCGCCGCTGCTGCGCAGGGTCGTTGTTCCGATCCTGGTCCGGGACGGGAAACCTTTTCACACCTGCTTACTTGACACGGAGAAAGTGAGCTGTTTACCTCCATCCTCTCAGGCGGTGCCCTTCCCTTTAGCCTACCCGTCTCTGCAGCATCCCTCCGCGGTCGCTCTCCCTCCGAGGTACCACCAGCACTTTCCAGCCGCGGCGGCCTCCAGATTCGCCTGGAGAGACTTTTGGAGCGACTCGGTCCCGTTTAATTCCTTCAAGTGAAGGCCTCGTTTTCAATGCACAAACTCATTTAGAAGGGCATCAAATGTTTTCTGAATGTTTTGGAAATTTTCGAGCTACTTAAACATTTAGATTTTCACGATAGAAGGAAAGAAAAATTTGCACATTTTTTTATTTGGACATTTTTTACGCGTGTATGTGACTGTTTCTGAAAGGTTTCCTGTGACATGGCTTACTGGTGTAGCCTGTAGATTTGTAATTATCCAGCGACATGATGTATTTGTGTGTTTTTTAAGCTTTTTAAACATAATATTTGTGTAAAATAACTTTGTTGAAGACAAATGAGCTCCAGTAGGCTGCACTAGGCGGTGTCATAGAAGAGGAATGCTGAGCAGCAAAGTAGCCTGAAGGAAAAAAATAATGTTATTTGTTGTCTTTAAGGAGACTTTGTTTAAAGGTTTAACTGTTTCTTTTTGTGAACAACACTATTAATAAAACCTCTCACATTTTGTATGATACGTTTTACAGTGTAATGTGACTTCTTTTTTGTGTTTAAAAAAAAAAGGGTTTCTGAAGATAAAAGATGCACCAGTAATGTGTTTAAAATCTGTTTTCAAAATAAAATAACACATGCAGCCTTAAAATAAATCTAATTTGCAGAGTTGGAAATATGTAGCAGGTCATGACAGGGGCCCAAGAGGCTTTTATAATGTTAAAAAAAAACTAATTATGCACCCAAAAGCTGAGCAAACATCGCTTTCTAAAAAGGACTGGATGTGGTTAAGCATAAGAATACCCAGTAAACATTACAGCCTCTCTCACTATAGCGGCCTGTTGTTGTCTGGGCCCATGAGCTGCCTTTCACTTACACAATCAACTTTTGTTATTCTGAGGAAAGTGGGATAAATACAGCTATTAGGGTTTATCTGGAAATCTTAGTGGGTGTGTTTGTGTACTGTAGGATTGAAGCGGATGTGATTTTTGGGGAATTAAAAGGCAGAAAATCAACTTTCATTAAAGAAAAAAGTGAATATTTTACAGGCATGAAAAAAAAAGGCCCAAAAAGAGGTTTAATTGTTGCTGATTTTCTGGCTCTGAAGGATCCTGAAGAGTGAACTTGCTTCCACATTCTTGGATCTTCTCACTATAAATTTGCAGCGTGGCCCACTCTTGTTTGAATATCTCACCCTGAAAAATATGCCTCGGTGTTTAAAATCATGTCAGGTTTTCATCGGTGACGAGGGGGGGTCCCTGTGCTTTCACGCCCCCTATAATGTTGTTTGCTCGTCCTGTGACCCTGCAGCCCATCGTCCCTGTCACCTGGCCCTTTGTCCGCCTCACTGGGGCCACCTTGTATCACATATGGAGGGGACTGGCCGAACCCCTCAGCTCGCTGCATCTCCCCTTAAACACTCTTTTTGTGCGGGTGTCTCCCTGTGAATGGACCATTGTCCCGCGTCCAAAAGGGACCGAGACAAAATCTTTAGTGTTTCAATTCCCGTGATGTTTAATCAGTCCCTGCGACAAATTTATGAGGTTTAACTGCACAATGGTGTTTTAGAGCATCTTGGGGTTTAAGGGTGACAAAGACAGGCTTTTAGAGGTTGCCATTGGTTTTTTAAGTTGGTCAGAGGAATTGTCTGAAAAGGATGGGCTTGTATTAGCCGGCCCATCCTATAGTTTTACTCACTGGCCAGGCCCGGGGGCCCCTTTCAGGAAAGTTATAAGATCCACATAAACTGGGCCACAGGCGGAGTTTCGTTAAGTTGTTGCAAATATATTTTAATTACCTGCAACCAGAGTTTAAAATATTGATTCAGCTTTTCACTTTTTTGCACAGATTATTTTTGCTTTTTTTGTTCCTAACAGAAATGCACATTAAACCCTAAAGCTTTCCCCTCAGACTGGCCTCTGACATCTTTTTATTGGGCAATATGTGGCTTGTCTTCATCCATCTACTAACAGCAGGACAGACTAAACTCATGCAGATAAATCAAATAAATAAAAACTGCCTGCTTGTTTCTACTCGTCGTGGTAGTTTTCATGGTGTCTTTTGCATTTCACAACAATCTATCTTGATTTAAAATTGTACGTGCAAGTTTAAGTCCATTTGTCTCAAGAGAACAGAAGCATTTATGTGTTTAGCCTCTGGTTTTGGAGCATTTAAAGAGTGTTGGTTATCGGACATATAAGAATATAAATGCTCTTTTGTTTTTAAATGCTGAACCAACCAGCGTGAGACGAGCTCAGACAGTGAGTGTGTTCGGGGTCGACATCGCACAGAGATTTAAATCGGGCTGACTTGTTACTATAGTTTGTCAGTAACTAGGGGAGACTGGCATTTGCTGGTGGGTATGAGACTCATGTGGATTTTCACAGACGTGCATATGTGAGCAAAAGAAATGGATTCATATAAAACAGATTGAAAACAACAAGAAAAAAGAGCAGTGACACACACATTCAAATAAACACTAATAAATAAGCAGTTTTTTTAGTGGTATATGATGTAGAAGTAAGATTTTCTTCAACTTTATGGAGTAAAAAGGTTGATGTTGGACCAAATGATGCGATTGTGTTAAAGGAGCTGAGAAATGCTAAATATTTCTCAATACAGCTCACTGACTTGTTTCAAAGCTTTTTGATAAACAGAACAAAAGGATGCGAGTTCCTCAGAATTACTGATATTTATCTCTTTTTAGGTTTTTTTCTCTTAACTTTTTAAAAAATGTGTTACTTAAATAAGTCAGTATTGTCCCATGGGGTTGAAAAAGACTGAATTCTCAAATTCTTCTTTTTCTTTTTGTTTAACTTTAATAAATGTAGATATTTAACTGACTAAATGGGCTAAACTACCTGGTATAACACAAACAAAATCAGAAAATATACCTTTATGTAGCAGAAATGTGTTTTCTTCCTCCCTAATGGCCTCTCTGATATCAGACTGGGACAGAGGATTTTTCAGGATCCTGTTAGATGGAGGTCAGTTTTCAGGGATGCTGTTCACACCTTAAACACAGAGAGTGGTAGACAATCATGTGCACGACTGTCTTCAGATAATTTGCGGTTTTCAAACACATGAGATATAATAGCACAATACAGGTGGAGTTCATCATCCATCAAGTTCTACAAAAAACTGACTGAATGCATAAAGAGACAAGAAAACCTTGTTCAAAATTCATGTTAGTAAAACAGCATAGTTAGAGCATCACTTCATAGCAATGATCTGGAGAGCACAGCTGTGTCTCACAGTTGAATGCTCTATAGCGTATATTTTATAGCTTTACGCGATTAAAAGCAGCAACACTGCACATTTAAGACACTCCCGTGCAAGAAAACGTCAAAAATCTAAATCAAAAACGTATGGAAGTATCATCCTAAATCATACACTGTAAAAAAAAATCTGCAAAAACATACTGCTGATAATTGGCAGCGAGGGTGACAGAAAAATATGTTTTGGAATTTTTTTTTATTTTTTTAATTGCCACACTTTGTCAAAGAACTATTTTCAAAAATGCAGATTTTATATGTGCATATTATTTATGTTTTTTGGGGGGTTAACATGTAAATGAACACCTTCCTCTGTGTTTTTATTAGTCACTATGTGTAATTTAACAAAACGGAAAATCTGCATCAACAACATCAAATAGGCTAAATATATATATATATTTTAAAGTACAGGTAAAAACTGAAAAAGGTTAATTTTTCACAGTGTACTTTCAGTGTTAAAAGTAATGTTTATATAGTTACAGAATTATAATACCTGCTCATTAAATTAACTTTGGCGCAAACATTTATGTGGATGATAGGATTTCAGAGGTCAGAGGTCACTGCAGCCTCACAAAACACCAAAACTCAAAAACACACTCATCATGATTCACACAGATCGAACAGGATGAAATGATGAAATGATGATAGTTTGTATGTAAAAGGTCAAAGGTCAGATGTGGAGCAACATGGAGGTAAACTGCAGCCTGACACGTTATCAGAGGTGTACATCCACGAGTGTTTAATCTTAGCTTCTACTGCATTACACACTCCAGGTAGCATCATTTATACCAGAGATGCATGATATTGGATTTTTCTGCCAGTACCTAATATGCCAGTTTTGGCCAGTTGCTGATAACAAGACATATTTTTCCCCACCTAATTGCAGATAGTTTCAAATACTTCCTGCAGTAAAACGAGCAGGTTATCATCCATCCTCTCACTGTGACGGCCCACTGGGAGTTCCAGACGTTTATGAATGTACACATTTACGGGAAACGACTTACATGCAAACATTCCATATTTATTTTTATTCAATAATTTTAAAGTAAACTATAAACTTTTAGCCCGACAGACACTATCTGCTTGTCAGTGTTCATTCTGGGGCGATGCCGATATTTCATTTCAAAGCCTTTATCAGCTGATACCAGAGATTAGCTACTACCTATTCAAGCTAAATAAATGTTTTAAAGCATAAAGAATACGATTTCAGGCTGTAGAGTTATAGTATAAAGTAGATTAATGCAGAAATATTAAAGTACAACTGCTTAAAAACTGTAAATAAACAAATACGGTTACGTTATTAAAGTCTCTGCACGACTACTTTGCACAGTTTTAAATTGATCTCATGACAAATTTCACAAACTCTGGGTGACTTTTGAAAAGTCAGACATCATTTAAGACCAAAGTAGTCGGTTTGAATTTGAAAACCAATCATCAGAAGCCAAGTTATTTACATTTTTGTCAGGACATTTGTAGTCATCATGTTCACACAGATGGTGTTTTACTGTCAGCAGAATATGCTTGTCAAGCTATACTTTGACGCTTTTGTACATTTTCAGTCATTTAAACTAAACACCATGAGGACATGTTTTAACAATTTGCTCAACTTTAGCACTTTCTCCCAAAATGTGCCCGTTTCTTTATGGATGTCTGTGAGCCTTTCCTCCACTAGATGGCGCAATGACACACGCTATCGTTCTGGAAACCCCCTCACTCCTCACATGGATGAAATGTGACCAGAGGGTGAGTTCGGTTCGTGGGGCTGAAGGGAGCAGCTGATCCACTAGGGGCCGTGCTTCACTGACAAACACCAAGGTTTTCCCCCTCTCTGGATCTCCTCCACAGCTGCTGATTGGCTGCAGAAACTATGGCTGCCTGTGACGTCACGTGTCAGGATGTTTGCTCAAAGGTTGTGGCAGGACTCCAGAGGCAGCTTCAGAGCAGGACGGACTCGGACAACAACACTAGTGTTAAAAATATTCTATTAATGTGAGACGGATTCATTGGATAAATGATTATGGATGGAAGATCAGAAGTTAATATTCAGTTAAAGTCTCATGTGAGCTGATGAGGCACAAAAGGTGTCCACTTTTTCTTGTTCAATTCTTTCTCACTTTGTATTATTTTTCCCTGCAGCATAGAAAAGGAAAAAAGTAAATAAGAGGAGGGAAAAAAAAAACTTGTGCAAAAGCATGCGATAATTGCGCACCTAATCTGCACAGTTTCCTGAAATTAGATTTAACTTATTGGGGCTTCAATTAATATTTAACAAGCCCAAATTTAACCCATTAGATGTACAATATGCTAATTCATATGCACTGAAGGAGCTCAATAGGAAAATAAAAGTGAGGATATATTCGCTCTTTTATACCCGCTGAGATAAATTTGGACACAGCTGATGGATAGGCAGCAGGAGATATTTTTAATATTCATATCGAGGTGCAGCTATTCATATCCTGTACTTAGATCTCTCATAATCTCTGCACTGTGTTTTTGTGTTCAATTTGCATCTTTAAAGGGGAAGAAAAAAAGCTTCTTTTTTTGTTTGTATTTTTATTGCGACAATTATTCCTTTTATTGCGCACACTTATTTTTCCAGTCTGCTCTCTGGATTTATATCATGGCACCAAATCAGTTCATAAACAACAACGTGTAGCCTCGATAACAAAAGGCTCGCTAGCCTCATACCCGCTACTTCAAAGTGTCCTCATTATTGGAAGGAATTAGCCGGAACATTTGGACTAATTGCCGCTAATTGGCCATAATAGCCATGCGCCAGAACAGGGAAAAGGTACTGATTTAAATGATTAAGAATGTCTTTGGGAAAATTCCGCAATTAGGGAACGCATAAGCAAGATTTACCTTGGATGCAGGGAAGGGATGCTGTAATTTTAATTGCCTGCGATTATATGGCCTGCGCATTTACGCACCGCCAACCTCAGCTCTCACACAAACTATTTATCTTTAGCTGTAATATTTAGCCTCGGACTACATGAGAATATTGCTTCATTATGGATAATTGTAAAGCAATAGGAAGGATGCGGGTTGTTGTGATGTGTATATACGGGGCTCTTTAAATTGCACCTGCAAACAGAGCAACAGATTATCCTGCAGGAAACATGCAGGCAAGCCGTGAAATGTGCAGCCAGGAGACGGCGGTGAAATGCAACAACTGTGGATGGTGATCCCCGTGACAAAGTGTCAGGGCTGAGCCTCGGTGCGGCTTGGTGCTTTGGGTGCATCAAGCTAAAACTGCAAAAAAAATGAGGGGAATAAACCAAATAGGCTACAATATAAAATGAAAACAAGAGGAGGGGAGAAAAAAAAAGAATCACACTGGAGTGAAACAGATTGTTGGGGCTGAGAGCAGCTGCCACCAGAAGACGCTGTGCTTCTTTAATGCCTGTATAAGGTGACACCGGTTCAACCTGCAGGAACAGACTTCTGTGGCATCTGCTGCTGCAAGACTGATGCTGCACCTCCTGACAAAAGCTTTATTTAAAAACAAAAAAACCCCGAATTAGAAGTTGTTTCAGTTTGTTTGAATATCTCCACACTGTCCTTTCTGCTCCGGTATGATCCTGACATCCACAGACTGTGTAAGTTAGAAGCTACTCCATTTGATTTTTGCTTGTTTTTTTTTTTTTTGGATGTTGTGCATCAATAATTTTGCTACTAAAAACAAGAGACATGAAAAAATAGGTATTGTAATTAAAACTATTTAGTTATGCTAAAATATTGACTGATTTAAAACTAAAAGATATTTCTGAGGATAAAAACTAGTTCCTGCTGGAATCTCAATAAATGTCCAGTGATAATATTAAAAACTAGAACACTATTTCACCCTTTATTTCCCCAGTAAAACTATTATTTTAGTTCATATTTGAGAGTAAAATGCGCACAGAAAGCTTCCTAAAGCTATAAGGCACCACAACACCATTTTATGACTTCAAAGCTGGATGCAAAAAAAAAAAAAAAGAGGCACACAGAAAAAAAAAAATCTTTCCTTAGGCTTCTGCGTAAAATTTGACAAATGAGATATGATTGGGTTAAACTGTAATGGCTCCTTGAGCATTAAGGCAAGATGCTACTGAGGGCTACCTGGCTTGTGCTGCACGAGAGTAGCTACTTGAACGCCGTTAACTTCACATGAGAGCCTCTCCTACTCCAGACTCTATTTTTCTTTTTCTTTTTTTTTTTTTTTTACCGGGTCTCTTTGACGAGTGTGTGCATCTGAATTTAGGTAACGCGCCGCTTGCGTCCAATGATATCAAAAGGAGGAAAGGAGAAAAAAAAAACGAGGGGGGTTAATCATTTACGCAGCCACTTAACACGCGGATGTGTATTTATTTACTTATCAGTATCAGTCATTTTCCCTCCCCGCAAGTGCACTTTTGCATGTCTGAGTACGATAAGGCATAACACAAACAATCCTGCAATCACTGGAGGCCTCTCATGGCCATTAAAAGTCAGTAGTTCAACTGAGGAGTGGTTCTCCAACTCTCAAGTCCATATAGGCCTCCTTTCATCAAGAGGCCCTCGTAAACATCACTACAGTTAATAAAGTGTATTGTGGTCACTCGCAATCCCAAGGTGCAGCCGCGTGTTTGTCAGCAACAAGTCGACCACAAGAAGAAGAAGAAGAAGAAGAAGGAGAAGGAAAAAAAAAAAGACTCCAAACTCGGCGGCTGCGTTGCGCTCGGAACCTCCGCTGCAGCCGCCGGGATGAACGTTTATGATCATGCAGCGCTTATGTTATTGTTAGTGGGAGGGGAGCACATGTCTTGTAAGTGAAATTACGCACGGCGAAAGGAGGCTAGAGCTGTTTTGTATTGTTGCCGATGCCCCGCCTCTGATGGTAGCCTTAAACCTGGCACCCAGCTAAAACAAACCAAAGCCAGCACCGAGCTCCCACTCAATCCAATTAGGGCGGACTTGAGGCGCTCTCCTACGTGTTCATCTACCAGGATCGACGTTGAGACAACAGGAACCAGAGGGGCTTTGGCCAAAAAAAAAAAAAAAAAAAAAAAAAAAAAGGGAGAGAGGAGAGAGAAGGAGAGATTGCCTTGCCTTCTAATTTCTCCCTCTCCAGCCCCAGAACAATGTCGATGAGCCCTAAGCATACGACTCCTTTTTCTGTTTCCGATATCTTGAGTCCCCTTGAGGAGAGCTATAAGAAAGTAAGTATGGAGAATAACAACTTGGGGGCACCTCTCACTTCTTACCGGCAGCCGCAGGTCTCTCAGGCGGCGATGCAGCAGCACCACATGGGCCATAATGGGACTGTGTCTGCGGCTTACCACATGACTGCGGCAGGTGTTTCTCAGCTGTCACACACGGCCATGGGGGGCTACTGTAACGGCAACCTGGGCAACATGGGCGACCTGCCGTCCTACCAGGACGGCATGAGGGGCAGCGCCACGGCCACCGGCTGGTACGGAGCCAACCCAGACCCGCGTTTCTCCACCAGTGAGTATCCCCGCACCTGCTCGACTTCCAGCTCCGCTTTGTAAAATCCAGGTTGCTCCGTGGTGGTGAAGCATTTTTGCTGTATTCCTTCGGTCACATCTGCGCTTTTGCGCGTAAAGACGCCTGTCTCCGTGTTGCTTTTAGTTTAGATTTCCTCTTTTTTTTTAGCACAAAAGAGGACAAAAAAAAATCACGCAATACCTTGATGTAGCTAATCCACCTGGTGCAACATCTGGAAAAAGTCCCACGATAGGAGACGGATTTCCTTTTACGCATTGATTTGAGACCATTTATCCACCGTTTCCTCCACATTTATCCAATAACAACAGGCTGTCAGCTATGAACTGGTGCTTATATATTTAGTCGATGCAGTTTGACAGTTAATAACGTGGACTTTGACACGTATTATGGCTTTGTGGGCACCTGCTTCTATGGGAATCATGCGTTCCAAAATTAGAGAATGTTGTTTTTGGACTTTCATGCAAATAATTATTGGAGTTGTAATTGCATGGATAACAGGGTTAATTAACTTAGAACTTTGCAAATCAATATCTGGACTCAAAATGGCTTTTTTTGAAGTTGAACTACACACAGATATGATTACTTCTCGCAAGTAAAATCGGTGTTTTATTTAAATGTTGTTATTTTTCCTCACAGTTTCTCGCTTCATGGGGTCGTCGTCGGGCATGAACATGGGCAGCATGGGCAGCCTCAGCTCCCTGGCAGACGTGGGCAAAGGCATGGGCTCCCTGTCCAGCACCCCGAGGAGAAAAAGGCGAGTGCTATTCTCGCAGGCTCAAGTCTACGAGCTGGAGCGACGCTTCAAGCAGCAGAAATACCTGTCGGCGCCGGAGAGGGAGCACCTGGCAAGTATGATCCACCTCACCCCGACCCAGGTGAAAATCTGGTTCCAGAATCACCGGTATAAGATGAAGAGGCAGGCTAAAGACAAAGTCTCCCAACAGCAGATGCAGCAGGACAGCGGCTCCTGCCAGCAGCAGCAGCAGCAACAGTCCCCGCGGAGGGTGGCTGTGCCGGTGCTGGTCAAGGACGGGAAGCCGTGCCAAGGCAGCGGCCACACGCCAACGTCCTCCGCGCAGACGCACCACCAGCAAGGGGGCAATGTCATGATCATGTCCAGCAACGCGTCCGGCCTCGGGCAGCACCAGAGCCAGCAGGTGGGAAGCACAGGTCACTCTCCAGACTTGGCGCCGCACTCCTCCAGTCCGCCCTCGCTGCAGAGCCAAGTGGCCGGCCTCTCCCACCTCAACTCCCCCGGCGCAGAGTACGGCTCGGCCCTGCAGTGTTCGGCCCTGTTATACGGCAGGACGTGGTGACAAGAGGCGCCGGCTGCGCTTTAAATCTATTTAAAGAAACAAACAAACAAAAAAGAGACATCCTTTTTTCTTTTTTTTTTCTTCTTCCTTTCCCCCTGTCAGGACTCGACAAGTTTCTCTGTAAATGTGCGCATTCGAACAAGAACCGAGTGAAATCGGTGCAGCTCTTCTTGAAAATTTTCGCCCTTTTGAAAGGACTTCTGTGGGAGAAAACACACACACGTCCAGAAACTGCGTCTTGGGATTTATTTATGTAAATTATATTGAGACAAAAAAAAAGAGGAATCAGCAGTCAAATAGGCCGCATAGTTGGGGGAAAAAAACTGAACCTGAACAGGCACGCGTAAAGGACTGCTGGTATTATGGGTGCTGTTAAATTCCCCCCTCATCCACAAAAACACACGTGATGACTCTGATTTATAATAGAAATTTAATGTAAGCCGTAGATCTAGCTTGTATATTTCTGTAAAAGGTTTGAATTTTAGCTATTTGTTGTACAAAGTTTTTGACGCTATTGCCGGTTTGTTGTCGTTTCATTGGTATTTGTACGTTTTATTTCTTTGTAACTTATATAGATATTTGACTTACTACAAAAACAGTCCTATTAATAAATTATGGAAACAAGACAGCTAGACTTTTTTTTTGTGAATTATGTCAATACAAGCCGTTTAAAGTGGCAGGAATGTTCATTTTAGGGGGTGAAAAAGAACGAGAGTGGCGCCTTTTTATTTTATTTTACCATTATTACTATTATTATTAGTGCGTTTTCTATTAGGACTAATTTGCCTGCACAATTTATCCCTCCAAAAAAATGTCCATCTAAATAACTAATCAAGCACTCCAAGTTTGTAAAATAGATGTTGCAAAACTAAATTCCACATTAACACCTTTGTGGTAAATTAAATACTGGGGGCACATTTTTCAAGTTTTATTCCCTGCAGACAAGGAAACACCGTCCAGGCTTATCGTCTAAGGCTGCAGCTCATGTCCCTGCAGAGTAAACTGAAACCTTTCTGTGCCTTTTTTTCTTTTCTCTTTCTGTCTGCATGTGTGAGTCAGAGAAAGGTGAGGTCTCTCGGTCTCCCGACATCAAACGCAGCTCAAAGGAGGCAGCTTATCGATGAAATCCTTCACCAAACAGCGCCGTATTCTTCTCAAATCAGCGGCCAGGCGAGCTGTCGGCGCGGAGCTATCAGCTGCTTTATCAATAATCAATCGGGGGAGGAATTGAAAAGGGAATAGAAAAAAGGTGTCAATTACAAACCTGTTTCCTGAAATATATTTATTTTAAATTGCTCTATCGGCTTTATTTCAGGCCTGCAGGCTGTTTAACAATTAGTTTTTGTTCTTTTAATGGTGCGTAAAAACGAAGCAAACCTGTCATTTATTTTTTCTTTATGTGTAGCTTCGGTTAATAAACACCCATAATAGTCATTAGACACTATTCTCCCGCCGCCTAATAGAAGCTATATGGCTCTTAAAGTGTAAACAACGTGGTTGCTAAGCGACGGAGGTGATTTTCGTTTACGGCTGAAATAAGTTGTTTTCAATTCAGTGCTGTCATATAGCTGCGATTTCAAATACTCTGAGCCTCCGATTGGCTGGGAAATAATTTAACATAAAGGATTTTATTTTATTTTTTATTTGAAATAAATATTCTGTCATGGTTTGAGCAAAGATTTGACGCCAACATTTGAAATAAAAGCAGGATATTTATGAGATGTCTTGAGATAAATTATCATTTTTATACCTGATCCGGGTTCGTCATTTTTATTCTATTTCTCTTCTTCATTTAAAGGCGGCGTGCTCCTTGTGACCCTACATGTTTTGGGAGCTACTTCAGGTTAATTTCTGGACTAAAATAAGCACCACGATCGCTTATTCAACAGAAATCGAGCTGCGAATCTGCCCACTTTCAAAAATATAAAAATAAATCTCGGTGCGTAAAAATGCGATTATCACTCCCATGCAGCTGCATTAACGCTGCAGGCCCAGTCTGCACCTGAATCCTGCTTCCCTCTGCGCCCATAATGTCCTTTACATGGGATCACTGAGGTCGATAGAAGGCTGTTTTGCTTATTATGCTTCCCTCTGTTTCCTGGCATTTACAGTATCCAGCTGGATTTTGCGAATTTTGAGCCAATTATGTTGTAACATGATAAATGTCACGCTTGGAACGGATCATTTTTATGTGTTCATGTTAAATATTCACAAACCTCATATATTGTTAATACAGCTACAAAAAAATACAAGCAGATTTTTCTACAATTCATATTTATTCAGGTTTAAGTTAGAAAATGGTGATTTTGTTCCCCAATATCACTGTGGAAATGTGATTTTTATATAATTAGGAGACTAAAACTCTTATTTCCAATTTGCGTGAATCACTTGAAGCCACAGTTTCAGGCCACCAGCAGCCCCGAGGGAGGAAAAAAAGCCTCTTTTGGGGACTTTTAAGTGAAATCTCACCAGCATCAGAAACTGTCTTCTATTAGGTATTTTGCAGAGCAGGTTTTGTTCGGGGGAGAAGTGAGAACTTTGGGATTACATTACCATGTCTTTGGCGCGGTGTGTGGTCTTTGTGTGCAGCTTGTAGCTGTTGAGAATGACTTGTTGGAAGCGTGTGTGCTCTCATCGCTCTCCTTTGTAGAAGCCCACAGTGCAACTCCCCAAGTCCTCGTGGCTTTATGGTGGGCTGTCTCCATGAACCCCAAGCAATTAGTCTCTAATCTCAAGGTAATCATATTTGAGTTAGTGACGAGCTGGTGAATTTTATTCGCCTGTTTAGCACCGAGGAATCCTGTGGCACGCAGTTAAGACCGGATTTAAAGTTTGAGAGGTTATCAAATTAAAATTGGAGGCTGCACCGGCGATGTTGCATTAATTTAAATATTTATGGCAAGTGGAAGAAAGGCAAAATGCAGCCATCTTTAGAATGAAATGTGACTTATAATGAACGGATTTTGCAACCTACAATGAACATCTATGATTAAATAGTTTTTTTTTTCCTTTAGAGGTGATAAATTGTAGATTTTTCTCGTGCACGTTTGGTGCAAATTAAAAAAAATAATAATAATTACGCGTAAATATCGACCTACAGTAAAGGAGATAAGTGAACAGATACCATACATCTCTATTTCAATCATTTAAAGTTCGATATTTCTGCACACTCACTTGTTTCCAGGCTCTTGCTGCAGCGTTAATTGGTTACTCCAAAAACAAGACTGACTAAAAACTTGATTTGACAAAGGAGATATGAGCACTATCCAATCAGATAATATCTAAAAGCTGAAAAGTACAACTAGAATAACAGATCTGCAACCAGAGAACAAAACTCAGCCCGTGCTTTTGTTCATTTTGTTAGTTTGTGCGTAATGCCTGACATACAACCTGCTCATAAACACGTCAGGATATGACATGCGCGGCTTTAACGTTGCATTAAACAAATAAAAACTAAAACAATAAAACCTAAAAAGAATTATCAGCAGCGAATTTTGCTTCCTATAATTTTGTTTTTGTGTGATTTTTTTAGCTACTGGATGTCTTGGGTGCTGTCCACGGTGCTGAAAAACATTTATCAAAACAAAAATTACAACAAAGATTGGCATTATTAACCAAAATATGTGCATGAATGTGTTTTCGTGATAATTCATAACAGCCTTGCTTAAAAAAAAAAAAATAATGCACCCTCCACTTTTAAAACACAGCTCCTCTGGTTCTTCTTTCTTAAGTTCCTAAACATTTCATTGCAACAGGCCCAAGTATTCACGCGCATTACAAATAGGACAATTACACAGCAACTGCAATCACCCCCTTTGGTAAATGTTATTGTGAGCTAGCAGCAAAAATCTTTAATTGTCCTACGTTTATCTGGTTCTTCAAGCCATTGTGCAAAGAGCGCAAACGAGGGTCATTTGTGAACTGAAATACTTTGCATGCAAAGCGGAGCACAAGATGCTGTAATACTTGACCTTTCAGCATAATTGTTGCAGGCATGAAATGCAGCATTCAGAGCTCGCTGAGTGGAGTCTTTTCTCTCTCCCTCCCTCTGATGAACAAAGCGCATTTTATACATCTTCGGTGTTCATTTGGCTTTGTTTCTTTAGAGGAAAATTTCTCTGGGACTGGCTGCAATTTATCTTCATTTTAATAATACTGCTCGGGTGAAGAAGAAGAAGAAGAAGAAGAAGAAGAAAAAAAAACGGCACAAATCACACGATTTTTCAATTCAGTACTTAATGGACTTCATGCTCAGCCTCAAAAGCCAGAAAACTTGTAAATAGACGTGCTTATAATTTTGACATGACAGGTCTCTGACTGCATACTTGACTGGATCCTTGTCAGCAGGATTTCACCACTGGCTAAAGGACTGCTGCAGAGGTTTAGCCCTCAGACTGGGCAGGAGCCCTGCAGATGCAGGTTTTTAAGGAGTAGCTTGGCTTAAAATAGTTAATAATGATATGAAATTAGAGGTAAATGTTCCCAAAATTATTGAAATCATGGATATTATATTTCAGAACAACAATGATACAGAAAACGTGCATTGAACTGATTCATAGCTGGATTTGTGATTTTTGCATCCGAATAATAAAATGCTGCAGCAAACAAAATAAAAAAACCCCTTTCAAACCAAAGAAAAACACAACTGAAAATATAGAAGGCAAGAGGAAACCCAATACGGAACATTGTCAATAAAGTTAGTAAAATAAAACTAAATAAAACAGAACTCTGCCCTAAGTGTCTGGACCTGGGTGTCTACTAGCAACTTAACTGCTACCTTAAGCTTCTTGTATTTATTTATTATGCACTTAGAGATTATTGAGTCATTTTTCTGCAAAATTTGCAATGACGAAAAAAGGAATTCTATTGTAAAAGTGAAGGATATTGCAATGGGCATGATATTTTATACATTAATAAAAAAAAGAACAAGAAAATCTAATATGAAGACATTTCTAAATATTTATCTTTGATTTCTGAACTACCTTTCATTTAAACAAACA